ACTATTATTAGGATTATAATTATTTTGATTATTGTCCATCTAATTTTTTATAAACTTTATAAATCCATACTTACATTCGAATTCTTAAAATTTTGAATTGTGAGTTAACGTCTATATTAATTTATAAAAACTAAATAATAAATTATGACCTGATGAAATATTTTGTAATAATTAACTAAAATTAAAATTAATAGAGAGTCTCACTGGTTGAAAACTGACCAATCAGATTTTTTTCTAGAGATATATATATATTCCATTCATTTAGCATTATAAGAGTTATGTGTAAGTGATCTTCATTTCAAGTAAAACATAATTCCAGCAAAAGTAATATTTTATTTAATGAGATATTATTTTATCTATTAAAAAAAATTAATTTCGTAATATCGTCCGAAAATCAGGTCATGGTATAATGTTTGTGACCTACATTGTATGTACAGTCATTAAGAATCCAGTAATGTCTCTGTTTTCTTTGTATGTAATTACATCATTAGCTGTAATGTTTAATTAGGGGTCTATCCTTCATCATTTCAAGGCCATTATGACGGTGAAATAAAGCATAAATATTGATATCAAAGGGTCTTTAAGGTCAACAAATATGAAAGTGATGAATTAACCTGAAGAATGAGGAATTTTTTTTGCATAATAATATCTCATTAGGGGCTCTGATTTTATCTTTATGTGCTTACATGTTGATGTAAGATGATAAAAAAACTTCAGGACCCAAGCAATTGCTTTCCTATGAAACAGAGTTCATGGCCATTATTTTTCAACCATAACGTCTGTAAATAAACACAATTTCATTTCATCTGCTGAACTTATTAGACGGATTCTTAAATTTGATAAATCATGAACTTTGAGAAATGCAAAACACTGTGTACAATTACAAATACCGAATAAACATGATCACTTTAAGAGTTTGGTCGCTAAGATCATGTAGGCTTTCATATTCATATAGTTGAGTCATGATAATATAAATTTCAGATATGCAAACAACATGGTTGAGAGGAGCTTATATACAGGTTAACTTTCATCCTCAAATCTTTGGGATTTTTATTTCCTTTTTATATTATTTAGTTAAAAATACAGAATTAACATTTAATCAAAGGCAAGATGTACAATGTTATACATTCATTTCGTGATTTCTTTCTCTTTTTTTTCTGACCTAGTCTCTGAAATGTACATGTATTCGGGAAAGGGGCTTAAAATTGATTTTTGTTCATTTCTGCAAATCTTTATTTCAAAAAATCACTTTAATTATTCTGTATATTTTTCTTCAGATGAATGAATTGTCTTTGCTCAGGATACCGTATTCAAAGTGCTGACTATAACAATATCGGGATTTTCATGTTGAGATTCTATGGATTTTTTGAGTACAAATCTTACCTGAACCAACAAAGATGCTTTTACAACCAAATACAAAGCTGCAGCTTTTATAATTATGGCTTTCATACAAGTATATAGATTTATCTCTGAAGTGCTTCAGCTATTTTGTCATCTTATTTCACAATCGATATTTTTTAAGCAAAGTCATCCGTATTTAGGTTTCGAAAAGCACTACAAAATGTTAATTTTTAGTTTGCAATGTTTTAAAGGTGTATTATTTTGCTAGTTTGCTATACATGTACATGTACGAGGGGTGATCAAAAAGTTCGCGAACTAATTGAATAACTTCCATAAAAGAAGCAATATTTTTTTTTAGTGTTAATCATATTTAAAATTCATCCTCTCCAATTTTAATACACATCTGGCACCGTTCTACTCATGCGCGAATCACGTAATATAGGCGGTCACGTGACCCCCTCTGTAACGTTCTGTCACAAAAGCTGAAATTTTTTTTCTGATTTTCATATTTCTTTCCATGCACGTTAATTTTGATAACAAGAACAATTTATTTGTCAGAAATGGTCAAATCTCGGCAACAGAATGGGTGGATAGGAGTATCCTTTCCAAACATGAGCATGGAGACCATCAAAACTCAAATCGTCCGTCTCGGGAGAGACGTTTATACAAGGTGGATAAAGAATAGATGCCTCCTTTTTATCATATCTAATATGTTTAAAATCTAAAGTAAACGATATCCAAGGTATTTAATAATCAAATCATTGTTAAGATATTCAACTATTTCTCAAACTGTTAATTGGAGGTCTTTGATAAAAAATTGCTTAATTAAAAACACATCTCTTTTCAAACTTGCTTTCACTGGGCAACATAACAAGTATCATAAGTATCATTTTCAACCATCTGCCTTCCTTTAATAAAACGATCAATTCAATCATTTATTGAATTTAAAGGAAGTGTTTTGTCTTAATAAACTGTGTATAAAATATTATACGCTATTGCAAAGGAATTTCCAAGATATACCATAAATTTTACAGGCGTTCGTTGAACGCGTACGACTGAGACAACCACTTTTTGTCACAAGTTATCTACATAGTGACGTCATTTTCCCATTTTGACGTCACAAACAAGGAGCAAAACTTACTACAGCATATGCTATTTATAGAACCTGTGTATGGCTATGTATATAACAATTTTTTTTTAAATTGTGAATTGTGGTTTTTTAGATATAGAGACAGTTCGCGAACTTTTTGATCACCCCTCGTAGAAATCAATTATGCTGAAATGTGTACCAAATTGAATTATCTTATATATAATTATCGTGAATGCTTGTTAGATCAAAAATTACAGAAACACTTGCTGTGGCCCTCAATTCGACATTGATATATCGGTGACGTATAATCAATAAACAATTGATACAACAATCCATATTTTGACCCGATACATTCCAATCAACTTCGAACAAAGATACCATATAATCTGAAACTTCTCTTTTATTTTGAGATAGTTTATAAGAAAATGGTAATCTAGCTATTAAATCTCTGATAAACGTGGAGACATCATTTTTCTATAAGTGATATACCTTTATCGCCTGCATATTGTGTTTATGTCTCCCAGTACGTTATTCCACACGAGAAAGCATGCTTTTCATACCAGTCTTTTTCTTCTAAAAGCAAGGCAAGCTATTGACGAAAGGTTGATTATTTAAATTAAGGATACTGAGTTATTCTTTGCTTAGTCTATGGTCGAAACAGGGACTTTGTCAGCAAGAACAATTTAACATTGAATCAAAAGCCTACCGCCATTTTTCATACCAACTGTTGTATCATTATTTACTAGTACGCATGGAAATGTTTACTAATTTTTCCATTCGCCCGATCATAACAAGGAGTGCACGAGGGAGTGATCATTTGGCAGGGATGCTTACTCCTGCATGGCACCTGATCACACTTTCAATATATAAGTTGTACAAGTTTGCTTAGTACCTGATTTGTATTGTTCAAAGGAGGTTTTTGAGCCGGAATAATGTTTGTTATTTCCTTATTTAATCAACCAAAAAGCCATTTTGACATAGAATGAAACATATGGAGATAACGATCAGTATTTAAGATCAAAAGTCCATAAAACAATACAAAATAGGAGCAGAGCTAACATGGACTTCCAAAACATCGGAGGTTGGATCAGGTGCCATGGAAGAGTAAGCATCCCCTGCCGACCGGTGCTCCTTGTCATGATCGGGAGTGAACGGGAAAATCCGCCGTCAATTCAGTGTAAAAATAATGGACTAACAATTAGTATGAAAAACGTCAGTCAGCATTTGACTCAGTGATAAATTGTATTTGCTGACAAGGTCATTGTATTAGCCAAAGATCTTACTAAATGATGACTTGAAACGAGGGAGCTGAAATTCTTGTTTCATCAACTTGTTTGTCAATAATTTACTTCGTTTTAGAAATTGTTCATACGTATCGAATCAACTGAGATAAATAAACCCCGTATGCCACTTGTTTGCACTTCCAACTTCCAAGCATAAAATTTACAATCATCCTGAATCATAGTGGACAGTACAAAAATATTCCATTGTACACAGAGTTGCCTGCATGGCGCAGTGGTTAGAGTGTTTGTTCCAGAGTCGCGAAGTAAGGAGTCAATCCTTACGTCGCTGGTTTGAATCCCTAAGTGGGACGTGAATACTGGTCCTTCGATTGAGACCGTATAAACCGAGTTTCCTGAGGAAAAATTCTTGAAAGGGACATTAAACCATATACCAACAATCAATCAATCCATTGTATACAGAGTAGACAAATTATACATGACAATAGAATTCAATACAAAGGGGATGTAAATCCAATCTTGTAGACTTGCTCGTCTCCTTTCTTTAATGGTGCTCTTTTTATACTTTTTGATATTGTCAAACATGTTTGATAATATTTTCCTATGGCAGAGAGCAGAGGATAGCAACACAAAAACGAACATATGGACAAGTCTACCTTCACTGATAGTCTTTTATATCCATGTTTGGCCTGGATTTTGTGGAAACCTACACAATATATTTTTCTTTTTAGGTTTTTGTTCTGAAGAAAGGAAACAAAATTGTAAACCTAAATGTTTTCCTAAAAAGTAACGATAGATAAATCGTTCACTATATGAGAAGAAGCTATAATATTTCTTGACAGGTGTGTGTAATTGATAACAAATAATCGAAGATATGAATTTTTTTCGGTCAATGTGCAAATCCCTCCACGTAATTTATTCTTCAAAAATTAAAATTCAATGGCATACATATTCTCCCAAATATTTAATTACATGTAACTGCAAATTATTAAGATAATAAATATATTTCCTTCGCTCTTGTCTTTTTTTTTCAAACTACAAAATTAAATTGTTTATATGTGCACTATAAATCGGAGCTTATTTGATTTTGTTTTCTCTGATAGTGTCAGAAACAATTTGTAAATGTATGATAGACAATTATTGATTTCAACATTTGAGCTGTCTAATCAATCGGTAGGCGCAGGATATAAACTCTAAAAGTCAGTTGATTACTCCTGGAGTGTTAGGACTTCATTGCATGATAGCTTGTTAACGTTTTCTGAGGCGAACGTCTATTTCCAGTGCTGAGATATTATCATTTTTTTTGGATTGGATATAGATGATATTCGATAAAATGTACATCTATCCATGTACTAGGAAGTAAATAAGCGTCAAAAAGGTAAGTTAATCTTTAAATCTTTCTTAATTTTTTCTTCATTAGAAAGTCATGATAGTTGATAAGAATGTTAAATTTGATTTCATTTTTCAGAAATTTCATATGTCAGTCAAAATTAAGTAAGGATAACATTAATTGTTTATGATAGGTAAAATTATTTATTTCAATATCAAATTAACTTGTTAATACAAGAAACATGCTAAAATGATTTTTTTAATGCAATGTACGAGGGGTTATCAAAAAGTTCGTGGACTGAGGCTATAAAATTAGTACTATGTAGTATGTGCTTTTAAAATTTATAAGGAACATAAAACAAAAAAAAAAGATAAAGAAATGTTGAAAATTTTAGCTTGATACGTTCATAATTTACCAAATTATTATAAAATGAAAACGACATTATATGATCACTCGGCGCTGTTGCCATTTAGTGTCATGACGTCTGACAACGTCATTGTTTTTCAATGCCCGCTTCTTCCACCCCATTCACTTATTTTCTTGAGATTCCCTGGAGCTGAGAAGGGACTTTAACCCGTTTTGGTTATAAGACTTTACAACGCCACGAACAGCGACTTTCAATGCATATAATATTTGAAATGGATTTATACACTGGGATAGATCCTCGCTTGATATTGGCAGCATATTTTGCTTTTTGGAGATCAATACCTACAACACATGATCAACGTCATTTTTTGACGTGATTGATTTTTCACACCTTGACTACTAATCGACATTCACTGTGCATCCCTATTCTCTTTGAATATATGTTGGCATTAAAAAACAAGTACTGGATGCATTTTATTTCTCCGTAGCCAGTTTAAACATTTCCTAGAATAATTTCCCGAATAAGGTAAAAATTCCATATTCTATGGAACAATAGTTTCCCAACAAATACCTGAATTAACGGAATTTTTGGATATCAAATGTTCATACGCAAAGAGTTTTTTCTCAGTTACACCTAGGTCGAAAAACGTCGTGTTGCAGGTTGCTCTGCCTTGACATATCACTGCTTACAAAAACATTACTAATTTATTAAAAAATCAAATTTATGATTTGTGGTTTATTTTATAAATAGAAAAGATTATTCTAACTAGATGTTTTAAAATTCGTTGATGTATCTAAAGCGGTTTTAATTTTATTGCGCTAGTCCACGAACTTTTTGATAACCCCTCGTATGTACACGGTAAGACCAATTCATTCTCAGTATGTGTGTATGTGTATTTGGATAAAAACTAACACGAGATATTTAAGCTTCTTAGTCTAATATTTTACCATTTATGCATTTATGCATTTATTTATGAAGTAAAAAAAAATCAAAATAAAATTTAAAAATCCTTAACTTCGACATTCGTAGTCCTTAATTACCATTTTCGACCAGTAATTTATTTACAAATGTAACTACAAAAAAATAGACAATCCAAAATGGTACCATTAGTTTATGAAGTTAAGTTGTTAAAGTTAAAAATGTTTTAAAAATATGCCTAATGTTTCAACATAGATTAAATATTTGGAAATAACGAACAATATTCAAGCTCAAAGCTCATTAGGCCTAAACCAATAAAAATCGGAAAACATAGACTACCAAAAATAGACTACCACAGAGCAAACATAGAACTACCAAAAACGTCAGAGGTAGGACCAGGTGATATGGAATTCGAAAAGCGAGCTCATCCTGTCGACTCTTCACATCTGTTTCTGATAATGATCGGGAAACGCTGTAATTCATTTTGTACATTTGAGTCCATGATGGGTTGTATTTGCTGACAAGGTCATTGTATGGACCAAAAACATGACGACTTCAAACAAGACTGTGTGTTTTCCTAGTTTCATCAACTTCTTTATCAATAGCTTGCCTTGTTTCAGTATTTGCCCTACGTAGAGCGTGTTCTTGCATCCGAGATTATTTCCTTTTAAACATTAAAAATAGTTAATGTCATTACAAATACTGAACTAAAGCTAGAAAAATCTACGGTATTATATTTGAAGATTAATTAAGCTAACGTAGTTCTATGTGCATAGATTCCTTGAATGAATCTTTTGACAGTTTTAACATATTAATACCGATTTCAGACGAAGCATTGATATTACTTTGCATTTTACAAGGCACATAAAACAATATGGGGAGTCTTTGGAGTTGATGAACCAATAATACATCTTGTTTTTGTTCCATTTCTTCCTGATGATAATTTGATTGGAGCATTAAAATCTAAACGATTATATTTGTATTTATGTAATCTTTTGAAAAAGATTTTTGTTATCTTTAAAATGTTGTTTTAATCTGATAAAAAGCTTCATGAAGTAAGCGTGATAATTAAATTGGTTTGCAACCTTTCCTCAATTTAGTCTCTAGCGTATAAAAATTTAGCATGATGCATAAAAACGTAAGTGTAATCGTTTCAACATCATGCATAAATTTTCAATTCTTACATTTTACATATTCAAAATAAAATATCCTAACAGAAGAAATTGTAATCTTATATTTTTATATAATTTGATTACTATCACGGACTCTGTCCAATACGAATTTTGCAATATCAATATTTTTCTACAATTTTTTCTTCTATATGCAATTCTGTTATCTCTTTTTCATATACTTTGTGCATTTTCAACGTAGAAATCAAGTTTCTGTCACTTTTGCTTACGGTTACATGCTCTGGTGCTATTCGCATTCACGTTGCATTGACATACGATTCCGAAAAAAATCTACCGATTTATATTTTTAATAAATAACTTGAAATGAACTGATCGCGGTTGGTAATTGCAAAGATACAATAAATGGATGCAATAAAAGCTACTAGTATATCACACTGCTATATACATATACTTTTTTCGAAACTGTAAAATTGTAATACATATCAGACAAGATATTGCATGTAATAAATAACACTAAATTGCTATTGAATGTATGCTAAACAGATTTCGTCCGAGAAATATTTTCATACAAAACAATAGATGCACAAATAATCCAATGCTTTTTTTCCTTGAGTATAGTATTCATATCATAGTAATTATGTCCAAAACTATAACAAACAAGATGTATATTTATGAAACACTAATGCCCCTGTATATTGCAACTTGTGGCGAGAGTTGGTTTTTCAAATGCATTGTCAAAGTCAATAGGTCAAGGTCTAAAGGTAAAATTTGTTGGTACTCGAAGAGAAGTCTTGTAACAAGGAATACGTACATCTGTGAAATATGAAAAACCATTTTCTTTTAGTTTTCGAAAGTTATGGCCAAGGTTAATGTTTTTAAAATTGGGTCAGATTCTAACGTCAAGGTCAAAAGGTCAAAATATTTTTACCCTTGCACCAACAGTTCAGATGTTTTGGCCCAAAGTAAAACTTTGGAATTTTTTTTAAAAGGTGGTCAAAATCAAAGGTCAAGGGGTCAAATTTGGTTGAAACCCCCCCCCCCCGAAAGGTCTTGTCCCAAGGAATACACATTTGAAATACGAAAGGCATAGCCCATCCACTCAAAAGTTATGCAAACAAACATACAAACAGACAGACAGGCGGATGGACGGACAGGGGAACAAAACTATGTGCCCCCCGAATATTCGATTATGGGGACATAATTCATTAATTGAATAAGATTTAAGTGGAAAACTTACAATTAATGATACTTTTTATGTTTGACCTTCCTTAAGGGATCCTGACCCTCTGGTATAAATTTAACTGAGATTTTTTTTTTAATTTCTAATAATGATTTTCATGAACAAAAAATAACATTGGATAGTTTGAAGTATGAAGAGCTGCTTATTTTTTCGGAAATTACATTAATGAAGAAATTTCAACATAGAAAACAGAAAGAGTAACGATTTATTATCACAACATAAAATATGAAATATGAGGTGTATATGAAAATAATACTAAGAATCATTCCTATTAAAATCATGTTAGAAAAAAACATAAAGCACTGCTTCCTTTGTCAGAATATCAAAATTTTGTTTGTGGTTGTAAGGAAAAAAAAAACATCTGTGAGGAGGAGTAAAATTTCTTCTAAATATTTCTTCATGTTAAAAACTGCAATGCTAATGAAAATTCCGCATTTGGTCTTGAAACATTAAAAGATTCTGAAAATGGTCCTTAAAAAAAACAACTTATTCATTTTGTAAGTCTTTGAAATTTGATTTATATTTTATTTTGGTTAAATATAATAAAACAATTTGGGGAAAAAAATCGCAAAAGAAATAGAAGGTAATGTTGCCATCATACGTTAGATTTCATCGAACTGATTACTTAAAGGTTTCAATAAGTAACTCTTATAAAGAAAACAATAAGTAGTATTCATTTTGTACTTTGAAAGTTATCTGTCTTCTCGGAGGGTCGATGCCCCTTAAGGAAGAGAACTAAATTTAATGCAATGATAATATTAAAAATGTTATTATACTTAATGTATTTGCAGGATAATGATTTTTCCCTCCTTTATTTTTAGAGTAGATTTCGTAGTAGGAATAAGGAAAATGTTTTCTAGGCCATCTTCTTGCCGAAGAAATTAAAAAATCGTCTGAAATCATGATTTTAAAAAAATGCCTACATAAATTTGTATATGTTTGTTTAGAAAGCTTGGATTATTGCATTTAAACATGTTGGAACAAAGTCTCAATCTTACATGGTTCATAATCATTAAGAGATATAAACTCTCAAAGGAATAGCAAAAGGCAACAGTAGATTTATTAGATTCTCAATTATAAATGGAAACCAGTTATGGATTATCTCCGGAAATCCACGCCTACCAAGCGGATTTTAAAATGTCCTAGTGGAAGAAAAAGCAGAAACCAAAGTAGGTTCGGGTATCTTTTTAATTCTTTCCCAAGCTTTATTTTGGATTCGGCAGTATTTCCCCTTCTTTGAATTCTAACCCCCTAGTTATTGTTTGTAAAATCGGTTAGTTTTCATCCGTCGCCTGAAGAATATGTTATACTTTTAATAAATTTAGTCATTAAGCAGTTAAAATAAATACATGTTAAGTTCTTGGTTTCATTCTTTAATATCTGTTTCTCGCAG